AGAAATTTTCTTAGAACATGCTCGATGACGTTATTTCTTCAAGAGTTAATTACTGTTATTAGTAATTAACATATTTTATTTCTTCAATTTATCTTTTATTGATCAATTATTTTTTTTATTTAAAATTATTAGGTCACTCTTGTTAAGTTATCAAGCAAACAAACCGATCTTAAAACAGATTAATATCAGAAAATTATTATAATTCTTTACTTACCATCTCAGTGCCGTACAGCACCTGAACATGGGCTAATGTTGAGCCGCAGATATACGAAATTCGAAATAAAAATGTTGAAAAGTCTTGACGAGTCCCCGAAAATGGACACAGTGAAGTTTTGAAATCTCAAACCTGAAAGCTGCAAGAACAATTTGCACTTGAAAGTGGATGACTTCCGTTAAATTTAAGACAACGAACAACCCCTGCGAAAATCGGCGGACGCCCAGTTAACACCAGGATAACTTTGCTTCAAGGGCTTTTTCATTGGCAGGTTGGGAAGTCATTGAAACAATCCAGTTCACAAGTCGAGCAAATGCCCCGGATTTGACGAATAAATTGCCACCGAAAATATGCCAGTGTAGAGCTCCTGTAGTTGAAATTGCGTTTGTAAGATTTAAAACTTGTTTCTCAATAAAGAAAAGACACGGAGACGCTTGTATTTTTATTTAATGCTTGAGACAGAGTTTCACACCAACGCACCGCGACTCTTAACTAAACAAAAACTTCACAAAGAAGAGAATAATCCCACATTATATAAAATTACTTTCAAAATCAATAGCTGAATTCACTCTCCCTTGATAGTCTCAATGTATGAAATAGCTCATATTTCCCACAAAATGTAGTAAAATTGAGAGTAACATGTATCAATTTACGACTGGTGAGGCTCTGGCTTGATTTAGCTTAAGAGTGAAAATAAAGGGATAATGCATGAAAACCTTGTATACTATTGACAAAACCTTAGAAAAGCATCGAAGCATCTTTCATATAATAGATTATTAGTTTTACACGAACTCTTACAAGTCGCACAAAATGCAATTTTACTTAAAAAACAAAAAAAAATAAGCTTTCTCCTGCATATGACTGATTATATCAGTTAACTGGTTGTAAGCTTTGATATTTTTATTTTTGTTGTATTGCAGACATGTATTTTGGAAAATATCTTTGCAGCCTGATATTTTTTTCAGCTGGTTAGTCTCTCTATTCTTTCCTTCAAATTGTAAATATCTCGTATGGTAGAGAGGTAAATAAAGAAAGTTTATGACGTTCTAAAAATGAGTTGGTACGGCAACATTGTATGTTTGATCGAAGGATTAGCCAAAATAAGTTTTGTTTTATTTTACATAAATGAATGCCGTTTGTTGATAATCCCCATATCTTGAATACATACTAAAGTGCAAGCTACTTGTTGTTGACACGTGACCGTGACAACCGTGTGGAGAGTTGCAGCTTGACACACCGATCCCAAGTGAATAGTCGTCAGGGTTGCAGCCATTAGGTGATCGAGGAAGACTGGTGTCACCAATACAGCCTATGCGACAGACATGAGTTCCAGGCTCCTTATTGGGATCCGCTACCAAGTTACAAAGATTTCCTAAATTGAGGCCGCACCATTCCTTGCAAGACACAATTATGGAAGTGTGGATGTAAGGAAAATTGCGAACTGTCAATTTTATACTGTTGAGTTATTTGCTTGTAATCCATTTCATAATCTCTTCACTTTATGACAACAGTTGGTGCTCTTTTTTCTTTAGCTTTAAATTAAGATAAAATCTTTCTTTTGAAAATGCCCTATAACCCTAAGGCAAACAAAAAGTTTAACACTGCATAGTTTAAAAACAAGCATAGTTTACCAGTCTAGCGAATATGATTTTGATTCGATTTACTTACAGTTTTTAGGTGCCCCAAGTCCAAGTGTTTGCCAAGTTTTTTCATCAACGTTTCGAAAGTGTACTCCTCTTGAACTTCTACTGCGAACTGAGTTGCGAAGAGCTGGGTAAGAGTCAGACCTCTGTTGTGGGTGAATGTCGCGCAGTCACTACGAGGACCGCTGTAGCACATGCGTATAACTCGATTTGGTACAGAGAACCAACCGGGATTTTTCATAGATGTTGTTTTTGTAATGTCAGCTGCATCCCAGGGGCTAACTACATCCTCATTGGCCCAGAGAGGACTTGTGGGTGAGAAATCTCCGGACATTCCAGCCACTCGTGCAACTAGTGTCCAGCCTCCATTGTCTTTACATGCCGATGTGATAATTTCGCAATGTGCCTAAGCATTTCATATAGAGTATTATCCTTACTAGTTATACAAGTGATCCAAAGATTTAAGGAAAAGAATTATAAAAATTACTTCTCTAAATAAATCACATTTCAAAAAGATTCTAAGAGAAAGTTCGTGATATTAAAAAAACAAGATTGCCTATTATGGTTCACTATTATAGAAGGAAGACAAAGGTCATGGGACTTTATCTCTTTATCATGAATGCTAAGACACTAACCTGGTATGGGCTGCCGCGAGCAGCCTGGAGCCAGTAAACCCCACTTTGAACACCTGCTGATATTGAATGATAGATTTCATCGCAGGATTTTGCCGGATTGTGAGCGGATCCAAGTCCTTCAGGAGGGCTGATTTAAAGGGAAAAATATTTTCATCATTAAATATATTGAAAACTACATGGACGATTTTGTCTGACATTTTGTACATTTAAGCTATAACACGCTTTCCTCAAATGGAAATAATTTCCCTTGGATAAATGATTTCTTCCCTTTGGTTACTATTTATTACAAACTACTGTCACCTTGGTTTGGGTAATTATAAGGGCATGCAATAGTTCAAACTCTGTGTTTATTACAAACTTCGATTAAAATAGTATCTTTCGACCGGCCTTGTCCATCTTGGGAAGTTTTGCCTCGAGATGATTAAACTTTTAAAATCTATTCGTCAGAGTTCTCCGTAAATCCCCTTAAAACACATCTTACTTGAATATCAGTTACCTTCCATGATTTTCCGCCGAACCCAAAAAAATCTTGGCTCCAGTTATCATCGAATCTTTTAAGTTTAATATGATCATTCCATGCTAATTTGATTCAGTGACAGTTATTGTCATTTTCTTCTTTCCTTTTCATAAACTCTCATACCACACAGACTGAATTTCATGAGTGCCCATTTTTTCTATTTTTAGAACAACGGAGCACATTTAAAATAGTTGTTGATTTATCCATGCAGTGTGTGTCGGATTTAAGTTGCGGAGCGGTGGTAGCATCACATTGATAGAAACTAACCTTTATGATAAATTAGGTCATGAAGCTGCCAATCAGTTAATTGACCAATGCAAACAACATTTACAAAAAGCTTTTATTAATTTTTTTCATTCGGTAGAAGTACACATTTAATAGTGAGAAAATTTAAAATGTTTCTATTTGTAGACGGAAGGGTACAAACATAACTATTTATCGTATTAAACAATTTTTCTCTGTTGCGAAAAATCGCTAAATGGTATCTAACATAAAACGAGGTACCCTGCGTCTTAGTGCTTGAGTCAAATTTCCGTGTACTCAGTTATTTTGAACAAACCATAGCTCACAACTTGGAGCAAAACTTTCCACTAGATATTAAAAAAAAAACTTGCTTGACTGCGTCGACTTTATTGAAAAGGAGACCTATGTGTCTCTGATGATTTTGTACGTAATAGTGAATAAAAATCAATAACCAATCAAGTAATTAGCCAAACTGAAAGTCAAAGACAATAACCATCTACAAATACCATCGCTTATGTCTTACGAGCCTACAAAATCAATACGAGAACATTGGAAAAAAGAAAAAAATCCAAAAAGCCTGATGTTGTTTGCCCGACAGGTTTTATTTTTTTTTGGCAGAACTATTTAAAGAAAGTTTGTCATTTACCTTTTGGCTTTAATATTCCTATGTGTGAATTAAGAAATGATTGTTCAAGTACTCGTCTACTATATTGCTAAAGCCGGACAAACAGCAAACAACGATTAACTATTTCATTAGCTATAATAAGCTATAATGTAACGCACGCAAGTTTCTAAATCATCACTCAAGTTACAATATTTGATAATTTATTCTCTGTCTCCACTTCCGCTCTGATCTGTTTGATCTCCAAGATCGCGTGCCTGTCCTGTAATGTGAACATGTGGAACCTCTCTGCAATAATGGCACAATTATGATCAGGACTACAATCGGTAGTTTAAGCGATAAAATTAAAAATTTTCTTTGATTCAAAGGTTTGCTGTTTGTCCGGTTTGGCCAGGGAAGGATGTAGGTGGAACTTTTTTACCCGACGCTTCGATCTGTTTTTTTTTTTTTTTTTCACGTCCTGTATAAGCCGTGAATGTTAAATGAACCCTGATAGTTACACACTTAATTCAATTTTGCCACATCTGTGTCCTTGTCTGCCTCAGTAATATACACCCTAGAATTATCCTACCCCACACACACACATAACGACTATCATTTTTTTTCTTGCTTTGAAAATCTCTTCTGGGCTTATTGAGTACCACGAAAAACTAGCCTATTCAGAGATGTAAAGAATTCGACACGCTGGTAGCAAATAGTAATGTACCTACCCTCCCACTGGTGGGCCTTGAGGTACTGGCGGTGGAGATCCCGGGCAAGGACTTTCAACTGGAGGGGACGGCACTGACGCACAGTTACAGGGGGGGCAGTCTCTTCCATCTCGTCCGTCTCTTCCTGGAAGACCCGGGGGTCCAGGAGGGCCTGGTGGTCCGGCACGAGCCGACGGACAAAACAAAATCTGAAATATCATTTCGTAATTTTCAATATTTCACAGGATCTTTGCCTCTAGAACAAACTGATATTTGACTTGGTCTGTTACTCAGGATCGTTTTCCGTTAGAGAAAACAGCAGGATCTATTTCGTCACAAAAAAAAAAACTCGATCAACACACTACTCCTCTAGGCAGATCAGGTTATAGGTTTATCGATCAATTCCAAGTAGAATAAACCCTCCCTTGCTGCAACGAGAAAAAAAGTGATAAGGATAATCTCCATACGGTTGCTTTCAACATGCTGCTAGATTGTTCTGCTTTCTTTTTTTCTCTGTGCCCTGCGCATGACAATCTCGTATGAACGTTCAATAATTATTACAGCAGTTTTAATGACGTTGCCTTCTCAGTTTTCTTCATCTGATTCTCGACAAACCGACAAAATAGCGACACGCCGTAATATTATACATAATAATTTTTTTTTTAGTTCTACATGGTTGAATGGTTGTAGCGAAAACGAAGACCCCTGAAAGCTAAGACCTACGACCTAAGACCAAAGACCTAAGACCTAAGACCTAAGACCTAAGACCTAAGACCTAAGACCTAAGACCTAAGACGTAAGGCACGAAAACGAAGACCAGTAAACGACACGGAAGACCCAAATAAGAAGACCTGAAAACAAAGACCTCTTTGTTTTCTTTATTTAACATGATCTTGTTCTGATTTCTTAAAATCGGCACTGGAAATATCCGGTGCCGATTTTTAAACAATCTCCAACACAATTTATACCAGCACGAATTTTTTCCGAGCAAGCTTTGTTTTCGGGTCTCTGTTTTGGGCTCTTAGTTTTCGTGTCTTGGTTTTCAGGTCTTCGTTTATGGGGTCTTTTTATATAAAACCGCTGTTTTATTGCATGCCTTACCGCTATTAAAAATAATAAAACCGGAGATGGATATTTCCGGTGAGAAACAAGATCATGTCTTAATAAAGAAAATAAAGGATCTTCGTTTTCGGGAGTCTTCGTTTTCGTTACAAGCATTGGTCGAACTGATTTTTTGGCCCCAGACGGCTTAGCTATTCACAGATATTGCGAAGGTCATGGGTTCAATCTTAGAACCTGCAACGTTGTATTTTTTCTTGTAAATACCGTTCGGTGATTAAATAGTGAAGTCGCACTCGGTTAGCAACTGAAAAAAAAAAAGAAAAAGAAAAAGCAAACAAAGCAGAACAATGTAGAACACGAGTTCTTATATGTGAAAGACGAAGGACTATATAGCCTTACAATGTGAAAAGCCTTTATATGAACAAAGGATTTCATATAGTTCAAAGTTAGCAGTTTTAACTACTTATTTGGCTCATACTGGCTGCAGTCTGGGGAAATGAACAGAATTGTTTACTTGTTCGTGTATATAAAGTCGGTTGCAAAGTAACTGCAATTTTTCCAATCGACTCCTTATTTACAGATCTTCATATCGAGCCAGGCTCCATTTGTCCACGAGCACATGGCAGTATTCACAGTCAAATAACAACTTTCCTGATATCCAGCCACGAATTTTCGTGAAGAAAACGCAGATTTAAAAAAAAACCTTTCTCAATTCTTAATCAGGAGCTAGTCTACTTAAACACATGTACGCACTTAAACTAATAACGCTAAATTTACATTACATATCCTATTAATTTATATTTGTTGACCGGATTGAACCTGTTAGACAAGAAAATCAGCCTAATGGTACCATAATATATTTTTTTCAGCAGTGATTTCACAAGACAAGCAAAAGAGAACAATCCTGTTTTGCTTATGTTCAGAACTCTTATTTGAAAATTTAATCGAATACCGTAGAAGCATGGAAACGGAGGAAAAGAACCATAGCTATTCACCTTTCCTGGGTTGACTGTGTACGATCTTCTGGTGTGTTGCTCTTCCTGAGAAGCCAAAGAAACCACCAACAAATGTAAAGTGATAAGATGAAATATTTTAGGAAAATACATTATTATCACGGCTGCTTTGTGTGTTGATACAAATCTTTCGTGCGCCTTTCAAAAGTGACTAAAAAAAGGTTACTGCTCAATAAATTTGTTTTCAGTCGATCCTGCGTGGTTAGTGGATAATTGTTCGTTTTAACTGGTAGATTTGATTTTAAACCAATGGAGGATAAGAGCAGGACTCTACATTTGCGGGTGGTACGAACAAGAATACGCTAAGACATTCTTTATGTAATTCGCTGGAACCTTATCTTGCGTTTCGAAGTCTCCATTAATTAGTGTATCAGATCATTGAATTCATTTCCAAGATCTCCTAGAGTCCAGTCTTACTCGTTTGCATTTCGTGTGGAAACAAAACAAACATGGCGGCTTCCTCTGCGATTCGCATGGTCTTGCAAAGGCAGGTTGGGTTGATACGTCGAGGATTATTTGGTGAGTTTTTTATCATTTGCCCTAAACAGAGTTTATCTTGAAACTGCTTCCGCTGCTGGATTGAATTAAGGTTACGTAAGAGTGTGAAATAAGCGAGGTTCTTGCAGCAGCATCAGTTTTTGAAAATCTGCTTGCATAACCGAGTTAAGAAATAGCCGGTTTAGTTATTTTCACTGACTTTTTTGCAACTCTTAAATTATGATCACATGGTCATATTGCACAGGTGTCCCAAGCAGATGGCTGCAAAAGTCCTCCTATAACTTATCGGAGGAGAAACAAAACTCAGCGGACAGTCGGTAGGCGGCAGATTATTGTGTTATGAGACCATCAGACTATCACTGATGTTATCAGACAAATCAGTTTACTGCGCCCTTTTGATTACGTAGAAATTCTTTAGGAAAAAAACTCTACATGCATAGCTGTTACTGAGCTTTGAATCAAACAAAATAAAAACAAACCTTGCCAATAATAAATTATGAACACATTTTACACTGGAATTTTGTATATAGCGTCTTTTAAAAATCACAGGCGGCCCAAGCTCACGTCTCGAGAGAAAGCAAACGATTAATTCATGAAAACGTCACGCGTAGTGTGACTCATTGTTAAGTTAAGAGAGGAACCGTTGAGAATTGAAACACGTTATAAGGAGTAGTATGGGGAACGAATTATGGTTGATTTATTATTCCTGTTACAAATAGGCTGCCATGTCTACTAAAAGGAATGGAAAGTGGCTGTTGTAATTGTAGTGAGGTGGTTGTTGAAATTCTTGATGAAAGTTTATTTTCTTTCCTCTCTATTACTATTTCCAAATTCTGATATTTTTCTTAATGGAAAAGAAATTACTACTGCTTGTGATTTTTGATGAATATAGAAATGAAGCATTTGACAGTGCAAGTACTGAGAGTGCAAACAAGAAATACTTTGGTGATGATGATGGAGCTGCCTTTATTGATGCAGATGAAGATCAAGAAACAGATGTGCGAGAACATATCCTTAATGCTGCACTTGAACATGTGCACGAGTTAGGTTGGAGTTCAGAAGCTATAGAAGCTGGAGCAAGTGCTGTGGGGCTGTCTGCAATGGCAGAGGGCATGTTCCCTCGAGGTGCTGGGGATTTAGTCCTTCATTTCACTGAGGACTGTAATGTTCGTTTGGCAGATCATCTTGTTTCACAGTCTAAATCAGCAGGGAAGGAGGAAACATCTGGAGTCCCATTGTTAGTGCTGTTAAGATGTTTTTTTCAATTTAGAGTAAATTTGATTCTGTGTCCCAAGGATACTACTTACAAGTAAATATATCTTACTAGACATTCTGGTCTATAGTAGGGCTGAGAATTTTTATGAATGTTGCTTCATTTGACAAAGAGTTAAAAATAATCAATGATACTACACACCAAAGTGCCTATTTAGTTATTTACTATCCAACTGCTCTATTTTATGCGCATTTCTTATCAGGTAAGAAATGTAAAGCAGATAGAGACTGAAGTGAAGCATGCGCTGCTGATCAGTTAAACAGGTTTTTTCCAAGACAAAATAACGATCATGTGATATTTATATTGAATTTGTGCGTTATTTGTACTCTACTTAGTGCAGTTGGATAATAAATCTTATTCTTGTTACATGTGTTCAAATAATAGTTTTGTTAATTGTAATCATGTAATCTCCATGGCTCTTTGTAAGTAATGCAGGCCATTTTCACCATAATTGCCAATAAACTGCACTTGGGGTTAAATTTGCCTTTTGAGATTTTGAAAATATATTAAGAAGAGAACATGCATTTTTTAAATTTTTTGTTACACCAAATAGATTAGTTATCAAATGTAAATTGTAAAAGTCATTAATTAGTTTCACTTAGTTGAATTAATTCAACTTTATTCAGGCCAAAGAGTTCTCAGATGATAATCCGTGATGCTGTGGAAGTGCGACTGAGAATGCTCATTCCATTTATTGACCAGTGGCCTCAGGTAAGTAACATGCCTGTCTAGATGTCAACTGACTTGATAATATAAAGAGTTTCAAAGCTGAGGTTTTGAGTGTTAGCCCTTTTTTTAAGGCAATGTGGGAATTTTGGGTTGTATGTGTGTTTATATGCAGAAAATGGAGCAACCCTATTGGTAGGAATATGGTGATGAAAAAACAAGAAGGAATATTTTAATGAAAAGCACTTGTTGATACCATGTGCATTATGAGTGCTGATTTGGAAGATAAATTTTTTTCTATAGTTTTGCAGCTGTTAAGAATGTTTAGGGAGATTAAAGTATCTAGTGACTGGTTTGGATGCCACCTTGTCATTTCTTTGTACATTGTTAAGGTGTTCTTGGAGATGCAGAAAGAAATTGTATTTTGTACTGTTGTAAAACAGTGAGGGGACAAGGGTTAATTACTATGGAAGAGTGCTGAGCCTTGAAGGAAAACACTTTGACAAACTTTTTTGATAAAAGAGATGAGATGTGCACCCAAAACTCAACTTTTATTATTTTGTGAAAATGTTACAATTTACCATTCAGCAAAAAATAAAAAAAATTATTAGCCACCCTGGTGACCAAAATGGTTGCAGCTGGGATTGCTAATCGGGAACTTCAAGAAGGTCCTAGTTGTCTTGTTAACAATTGATCCTTTAGAAACCCTCAGAGTGTTACAGTTCAGGCTAGAGGTACCTTACATAGCTGGACTCCAGAAATTAATGTGGAAGGCATGCTTACCAGGGTCAGAAAGGAATTATTAACAAAAGTATTGGACATGAAATTAAAGGAGTAAAGAGTCATAAAGGCTGAAATTCTCAAGGACTGTATGTGTTTAAACCTGAATGTCAATGGATTTGTCCAGCTTTGTTGTGATAATATTATTATTATATTACAATAATAATAAGTTATGTTTTTATAGATGATGAATGTTAGTTGCATCTTAAAGGTTAATTGCCAATTTTCTGTTCCCTTTTGCACACAGGCCATGGGTTTGATGTTATTACCTCAGAATGCTCCTGATGCCTTGAAGAATGTTGCATATTTGGTAGATGAGATATGGTATCATGCTGGTGACACCTCAACAGATGTAAGAAGTGAATAACATAATACCTTGCTTTTAAATTCAATATCAAATGATGTATGTGTCAGCAGCAAAAATATTTCCCACACAAACTCAATTTTACTAGACATGGAAATAACAATAATTAGAGATCTGAAGTAACAATTTTCAAATCATTAAATTACTTTCTCTCCCTGCATTAAAATATGAAGGTATTACCACCCCTGCCTTGTCTCATGACAGTTACTTTCAATATATATATAAAACCACATTCAAAATGACTACATCATGAAAAAACTGCTTCTGTATTCTCTATAGTGGATAACTACAATGTTTATGAAATTGATATCAAGTAAGTTAATTTGCCACAAATACAACTTGTGGTAACTGTATGGGTATTAAAGTCTTGTGTCATAACAGCCATGAAGTAAATCAATAATTTAATAATGCATAACACCTTACAGGTAAACTGGTATACAAAGAGAGGAGTATTGGCAGGACTGTATGGTGCCACAGGTCAGTTAAAACCATGAAGATATGATAAATTACAAATAATTTATTTAAACAATATTTTGATAGGATGTTCCAGAGGGGAGGCACTGTGAGCTAAAGGAATATTTGTAACAGCTGCAATGTTGTTTTAAAATTCAGTTATGGCATCATAGTCACATATGACGTCCATCAGAAAATGAGAGAGGTCATATTTCAGTTGGACTACCTTTGATAATATAATTGGCGTCACTTAGTATGAATTTCATGTCTGGGCTGATTGAAGAACATTGAGTGTTAATACTTCTTTTCCTGCACACTATTTTTTTGTTTAAAGTAAGCAGACATTATAGAAACTAGTTTAATATGTGTACTGGTTCTTGTCATTTGCTGTATGAATGACAGAGTTGCTGTTAGAATAGTTTATGAAAATTACATCAACTTGTCATTCCTCTGAGAAGGAGTATTATTTTCCTGGCATTCTCCAGTCCTTCCCTATCTTACAAGGATACTTCATTTTGGTCAGAACCTTGTAATTTAATTGTTCATCTTACAGAATCTAAAACTTGATAGTATGTTTATTATTTCATTGCAGAACTTTACATGGTTACTGATAGGTCATCTGATTTTGAAGATACTTGGAGTTTCCTTGACAGAAGATTGTCTGATATTGGTTTACTAATTGGTGCCAAGGAAACTGTTAGTAAATGAGGGAAAAAAATAATTTATTGTAATACAATATGTGGTTATTGTTCATCATGGTGTAAAATAGGAGATGAACTTTCTTTGTTTTTCTCACAATGGAGTCACTTTGGATGTTGATTCTGACATTTTGACTGCAAAACTGCTAGTATTCATCAGGTGATAAGGTTGATTGTTCATGTGTCATCATTTGTAGCTTGTTGGTTTGCTGCTATTGGTGCATTTCCATACAAATAGAGACGCATAAACAGTCTACCTCATCGCCTGACGAAGATTAGCAGTATTGCAGTTGAAACATCCGGATCAATATCCAAACTGAGTCCATCATGAGATGAACGATTAAGGTTCATCTCCTAGATACATTATTGTTTGATCATGATAAATAATGCAGATTTTCCTATCTCTTTTTGGTTGAATGCACAAGGAGGTAAGTTTCAGAACCTGAACAATTGATGAAACAGATGACATTCAAGCAATCAATGTCAACTAATCCATTGATTTAGGCAATCCATATGCCTGTTTTTGTGATTATGGATTGATCAACTGCATTAATTTGATAATCACAAATCACTGACAATTGATGAATCAGAAGAACATCAATTGTCATTAATCACCAATATCAATTGACCACCTTTGCTAACATCAGTTTTTGTATGACTAACACCAATGATAAAGAAGGCGCTGAAATGTTTGCAAATGTTTTTACATGTAGACTACTAAGTGAAGTTAATTATGCCACAGTGAATTACACAAGTTTTATAAGTTGGAAAAGTATATTTAGTAAGATCTTGTCTGCAAGTATTTACAGTGTCCACTACTTAGAGAAGATTATTGATTGAATTAAATAAATCAGCCAATGAACTTTGACTGTTCCCAAGGCTCATTTTCGCATCATATTGTAAACAATCAAAGCAGTTTATGGTGTTGGGTTTGTACCTGGGAGCTCACTTGAACTAATATTAAATGACATGAATGATTAACTCTTTAATAAAATAATAATGATGTTTTTATAGCTTGAGAAAGCAGGATCAGATGCTGCTGAGTTGTTGTCTGCTGCCTTTACAACAGTATGTTTTGCTTTCCTATTCAAACTGCCTCTTTGGAAGTGGTTCTAATCATAGCAATAGGGCTATTGTTGCAACACCAACCATCACTTGAAAGAAACATGAGCTTTTCATACCATTGAAATACATTAGGATGTATTACAGATGGTGTAAAGTACTGATATTTTAGAGAGTGTTGTCTGCTCTACATCATATATACAGTTGAACCTTGATTATCCAGACTCATCGGGACCAGACAAAATAGTCTGTATAATTGAGGGTACAAATAATCGAGAATATGAGTATTAATGAGGAACAAAAACTGATTAAATTAAAAGGGCATTTAGTCATGGAACAAAACATTTAAATATCCTCTTGTAAAAAATATGGTCTACATCTTCACTGTCTATAGCGAATACTTTTACGTGTGTGTATTAACAATTAATTAAATTTATCAAGCTGTTCATTTTGTGCTACTTTTGGTGATTATGCTTCAGTCCTTCAATGGTATCCAAGTTGTCGGCAAATTTCATTATATTTTCCTTGATTGGAAATAAACATTTGTGACGCTGTGTAGCTTGTTTATCTTGCATAGCACACTGAACGAGCCAATAGAGCGTGAAATTTCACTTAGCAACAAAGCAACTTTAAGCCAATTAGACCTCATTGGAATGTTCTTCATTTATTTGTGCAAATGCTGCTTTAGGCTGCTTTTGCTTATTGAAAGCAAAACAAACTTGCCTTTAGTTCACTTTTCAATTCTGTAGTTTTAAAAAGAATATGGCTACAGATCTTGATCATGTTTAATAAAAATTCATAACAAAATTGGAACCAGAGAAAAAGGCTGGATAATTGAGAAATCTGGATAAGCAAGGTCCAGATAATTGAGGTTCGACTGTATTAATATCTACTACAAATTTTTAAGCTGGCTTCCTTCTCATTTTTATGTGTATGTGTTGTTTATCATTTTTCATTGGTTAATTCTCACCCTGTCCCACACTTCTTTTCCTGTTGGTAGCAGCTAATTCACTAACAGTCAGGGAAGGGATTAAAGTTAGCTTTTAGTGATAGTAGCACATCATAGTGCCGATTTTTCAGCTGACATTAATATAATACAAGCTGTTAATGGGTAATGGGGGAAGACTGAAATTTAACTATTCATAACTTGACTAGAAATGTGTTGAAAATTTGATGGCAGTATGTTAGTGGTCTCTGCTGTCTAATACTGATAACACTATGTCCAAATACACCCATCCTTGCCTTGAGCCTTTTAATATATTAATTGGTTAATTAATGCATGAATCTATTGAACTTCATCGCTTGTTTACAGGTGCGTAATATGAGTGGCCTCAATAGGCGAAGTAGATGAAGTCAACAGAGATGACTGAAAGTGCTTGCATATAATATCCATGATTCAGCTACTCAAATAACAAATTGGAAGGTGGAAGGTGAATCATGCAAAAGCAGTGATTGTAACCATGCAGAAGTTACAAAGCTGATGGTTAACAGAAGTTTGTTTTTCTAAGCAGACCTGTTTGCAGTGAGAAATGCATTGTTGACTGTTCATGACTGAAATCTTTATTTGTACTGTCTCCTGTACCTCAGAAACAGAATTATACTGCTACTGGCAGTGACAAGTTTTATACTGATGTGATTTTGTTTGTGAAGTCGTGACAGACCTAGTTTTTGCTACATGTATAGATTCTTTTTGATGCTTATTTAAATGTCAATTGATTAGGGAAAGTTATTGAATATCCATACTGTGAAAGTGCAATGGTAACTTAAAGAATTAAATGTTAACTTAGTTATCAATGTTGGTCATATTGATTTATGAACTTCTGACAAAGGTCAAGCACTTCCTTTAATATGATTGATGTTTCTTGAATTATAATCAGTACTCTCTTCTTAGCCTGTGGGTTTGTTCTCCAGTACCCTTTTTTGGTGTTTTCCACAACCTTAGATCAAAACAATCTTAAAACCTATACATTTCCCATGACCAACCCTAATCCTATGCCTGACTGGACTATTGGAACTGTAACCCTCGTAGTTCTTAATAACTTGCACAGCATGAAATTGCAAATCTATACATCTTTAACTCTTGCATAAAGAAACATAAATATAAAGCCTCTTCTTTACAGACAAGTTCCGCGCTCCGTAAAGATGCATAAATGCAGAAAAAGCACAAAGACTGCGTACAGGATATTAAATGTTTGTACAGGATATTAAATGTTTGTAAAGGATAAAGATCAAGATGGATACAATTAACCACTTTCTATTTGGAGAAATACTCAACAATACTGTACATCACTTTATAAGTCCTTCATTGCAATTTTATTTTATTTTTCAATAATTGTGCACAGGATCACTTGGCAAGTAGGTATTACAACAGTTTCTTAAATCGAAAAGGAGAATACTAACAATTTAAAAAAAACATTTCCTGAAGAACTCGGGCTATGTACTTTTCTTGCAATAAATTCTTATCTACTGCAATTATTCAAGTCTACCCATCTACTATTAAGAAATTATATCCAATGCTGTTTCTCTCCACAACTCCCCCCCCCCTCCCCCAAGTGAGATCTTATATTAAACTGCAATGCTGTCACAAAACCAAATATTTTCAAGTAAGGATACATACTTAATCCTAATAAAATCATCAAATTATACAGTTAATTGAGACAATAAATAAATTTACTAACTAGAAGCATGTAACATACATAGAACTTGTTCAAAATATTATACACCATGTTCTTAAAGTTACATTTACATCTTTATGGTGCAATTGTTGCCTTAAATACAGCACAACTATTGTAATTAAGAGCTGACTGAGAGTTGTCCAGAGCACAATGGACAAAGAATATTTTGCATTTACAGCCACAGTTTTAGGTTCCTCCTGGAACAAAGTCATCCATTACATTAATGTCTGGTTAAAGTTATTGATGAGGGGAATTTGTAAATCTTAGGGTTAGGGTTAACCCTAACCCTTGACCCCTTAACCCTAAGATATTATTACTGATTTTAACAGAAACTGTTTTGTCTATGGACAGATAACATTTTGAAGCCAGCAAGAATGTTTTGAAAGTGTTTATGTCACTGCTTGTGAAGGGAAGAGATCTGATCCTTCTTGCACAACTGTTGTTTTGTTTTCAGAGTTAAAAGCTGATGCCTGAATGCCAAATAACAACATATACCTTCAATTTGCCTAAATCATAGTATTTTAAGAATTCATTTGTTCTGCAACATTCTCACTGCCAAAAATAGGCTCAGAATTTCTGTCCTCTATGGATGTAATTCACTTGCAGTTTTGTCAGTTTGGATATTTTTTAAAAGTTGGTATACTAAGGCAGGTTCCATTAATGCTGGACCTGGTTGAACCATTAGATAATTATGAAAATCTCCTAGATCAAGTTGAAATTTGAGAGTAGGAAAAAAAATCAGAACAGGGCTCAAAGCTCAAAGTTTGTCAAATAAAATGTGAAGAACCAAATAAGGAAAAAATTACATCTGTGCAATATTGCACCACATACACTTGCACATGGTCTTGAGACTTGCATGTAGATAACTAAGGATGAGTAACATTGTATGCTAATATTTATAAGTAATTGACACTCAGTTTGAATTAGGATCTGTTACAGCTTGATACTTGTCAAACCACCAACATAGTTTGTGAAATTAGCAACTTTTTCTACCTATTTAGTGGCCAGAATTTTGTAGCAGTGTCTCCAATCAATTACAACTGTGAGCACTTGGAGAATGACATTTCTGATCTGATGACAAAAACATTACTAGATAAATTATGTACAACAAGAGTACGGCCACTGGTTTATTGATAAATAATGGTTCTTGGACCTATGAGAGGGATAAATTTTCTTTCCCTTCATTTTCCAGGAAATGATTATCTACATTCAGATAGTTAATAATCTTGGATGGCAATGGTAATTCATGAAGCTTGTCGCAGCGTGAATTTTGTCGAATAACAAACCTGCAAAGATGTTGGAGAGAGGGAAGTTCTCCAAACCTTGAAACTGGTGTTGTAAGTCGAATGGGAAAAGTGGGAAAGCCTAGGAAAGTTGATGCCTTTGAAAAACACATTGGCCCTTTTAAGGACATTTTCATGGATTTCTTGATGAGTCCTACCACTGTTTTAGTTCCCATTTCACCTGGAGGAGCAACAAAGTAAAACATACCATTTCCATAGCGAATCCTTGTATGGCAGGTTCTTCCTCTACACCTGTAACTTACACTGTACAAGTGGAATTCATGGGAGCTGTCCCGGACCAAAAAGCAACCATCAGGTTTATCTTGCAAATAAACCTCAGCTTCAAACTTGTCTATAGGCCCCCAGTACCAACTGTGATGTGAAAGTGACTCTAAAGATTTTGTTAATGGAAATGAGTATTGCTGGCAGCTTATTTCAGTAGCTGTTTGCGGACACTTGGCATTCAACTGCCTGTCGACACCTTCAATGGTCGGCACTGGCCTGAATCCTCTATCACATGGGTCTAGTTCATCGAGCGATATTGTCAACGATTTTACAAGCTGTCTTTGTTTTTTCCTAGTAAAGTGTGATGGCAGAGGTATGGGAGGAGGGGGAGGAGGAACTGCTCTTTTCTTTGTTGGTTCTACAAATGGATTTCCCTGTGCAGTTTCGAAATTCAGCCAGCTGGATGTGCTGCAGGTGTCACCAGCTTGTTTACTACACTCAAACGTGTCCTCCTCCTTTTTTGCCTCCATTTCCTTGGATTGCATTCGAATAGAAAATGACTTTGATCGAGAACGTTTCACCCCCGACCGACTGAAGGACCGATCTTTAGCGAAGCCAGGAAAACTAAGCGTTTTGTGCATTAGTGAAAGTCTAGTTGTAGTTTTTGGTAATTCATTGTCTTCGATGCTTGAGTACGCTGTCAAAGATTCATTTGTTTCTTCAGAATCAAAATGTTCTGCTGATGAATCTTCTGAACATTTACGACGTCGAAATTTCTTTCTGAGTTTGAGTAATATGTTCTTTGTTTCACCAAAGGTGTCGTCTGTTTGCGCGGCAGCCAAACTTTGATCGACTTCATCAGTTCCTGTTACCAAACTTTCTCCTACAGCAGCTGTTTTTTCCACTCCTTCATTCCCGTTTGAATTATCATCTGTGTCTTCGATGAGGTCGTAAACTTGCTCTTCTCCTTCTTTTTCCGACTCGTTCATAGTCCACCTCAATAGCTCTCTCTCTCTAATTTAAAAAGCGTCTAAACATTACAATTATTATATGTTGGATGAACACCTCCAGGAACGAGTTGTCTGGGTTAACGCGGTATACTTGAGAGTGTTTCCATGTCGAGAACACAAAATTTACTCGAAATTATAAACGCTTACGTTTCAGCTAGAGGGTGTCTTTCATGACAGAACATTAAATTTCAAATAATCTGTGAAAGGGATGACTTCCAGAGACTAAAGACAATGTTTATGCGCTTCCTCTGTCTCGCAAGCAGACGTAAACACGGAAGACGTTATATGATGGTTAAACATTACCTTTAGCTGTTTCCGAAAAGCCGCTGGAAAACTAGTGTACCGTGGAAACATAACTTGCCATTTTGGTTATTTTCTTAGTTTTGCGATCGTTAAATTATTTCTAAGGATTATGAATGCTTAATTTTCCTCTCAGAAAACTCCTGGAATGATTTTATGAAATGAAAATTTCTTTCTCCTTTGGGTTATTGGTTCTTCTGTGGCGGCAGATATCTTCCTCGTTTATTGATGTAACTGAGCGAGTTGGTATTTCAGCAATCAATGGCTATTTGGCAGCGTTTGGCGACTTTAATGGAGATAAACAGACCGACTTGTTCCTTGTCACTGGTGAAGGTAATAATCTTGTCCTTCAGGGGTAAAATAAGGAATCTAGGGCAAGGCGGCAGTATGTTATAAAATCAAATATACTTAATTAATCATACAGATTATACTCGTGTATTGCATGCACTGTATGTGATTTAAAACTTATGAAAAAAACTACTGACATTTTTCTTATCTCTATGAAATTTTTATGCAAAAAAACGCTGTTAGTGCAGTAGCAGCACGTCTTCTCCTTTGGCCGCAACAGCAAAATCTGTTAGATGTGTCGAGAGACTGGTAGATCTAAACCAGAAGACGTTTTTTAATGGTTACTGCCTCCTATGGAGGTGAAGCCTTAAAGGTGTCCTGTGGAGTGACTGAGTGAGTGAGTGTAACTGTAGAATACGAGCGACTTCTCAGCCCACTATGAATTCTTCGGAGTTTTACCTGATATTCCTTACTCGTGGCTTCTGTTTGTTACAGAACATCTCCGCCTGTTCAAAACTCGGGTTTAATTTTTTCGAACTGCTTCGAATGTTATTCGGAATTAGCACGTGATTACTCTGTTGATCGACGCTACTTAATGTTCTTTTGGATTACTAAAGAAGATTATGAACATCTCACAATCATCTCAGGATGGGACATGAAAAAGAAAAAAGCTTTAGCTTGCAGAAAGGTCTGACAAGGTGTAATTGGCGCACCATATACATTTGGAGAATAAAAAATTTTCTTTGAAGAGAGAGCATTCTACTATTTGAATCAGGGAATTATGCACAGCAGATCCTAAGATATTATTTTCTCAGTTCTTGCTGTAACACTGCAATAGATGATAAACATCAAGTACTTTAATTTCTGGCATGTAATTGAAAACAAGAGTTTTCCTTGCAAAAATGCCTAAATAAAAAACTTTGAAGGAAATCAGACATGGTTTGATGCTACTCTGGTTTACAGATTTAATGAATGAAACCAAAGCAGTTACAATTCAGAGACCCAATGTTGCAACACTCCTGTCTAGTACCTTCATCAGGGGTGATCTAAACACTGCAACATGAGGTCCTTTTATATGATCACTAATTAGCAGCCTTTTTTCTGACGAGGTGTAAATAGGCGTCAGGAAGCAAACCGCCATCGTCATGAGCGTGGGCAGAGTTAATATGCCAAGCCTCCAAACAAAGGTGCTGGTGGTAAACCGATTAGTGGTGATAATTTTAGAATTATTACATTGCAAGGTCCAAATATGATACCTAAAGTTCAAATGGGTGACCCTATTCAGCAGAATGATAGAATGGTGGAATGTATGATACAAAAGTCTCACAAACTTGGAATTACAATGAACTAAGTAAATAACTTATAATTAACAGTTTAAATTGAAAGAAACATTTGTTTATCATTATATTTGAACATAAAGGGTAGACTTATAGATGGAATAGTGAGGTTCTCGAGCTTGCCCCCATAAACTATAATTACTATTAATTATTGTTATCATTATTATTATCATTACTTTTTTAGAAATTTTTTTTTCATCATTTAATTATTGGTTGTGGGTCAACTAGTCACTATATTTCTGAATCACCTTTCTTTTGTGGAACGGTAACCAGTCAACTCGCCGACGGACCAACTCGCCGACGCCAACTCACCGACGTATAAAATCGAGTAGAGACGTCGGAGAGTTGGTCGTCAATCCAATACCACTTATTAGAAGTTAAACATACAGAAAAGTAAACGATATTTAGTAAAAAAACACTGGTGAACATTGGTGAACATCACACAGAAGCTTAAACATTGGTGAACATTGGTGAACATTGGTGAACATCACCAATGACCATAACAGCTTAAGACGCAAACAAGTTATTGTGCGACAACAACACCGTAAAGACTCATCATGTCAATCGCTCAGATTTTTTAACGAAAACTTGGCTTTCTAGACAAGATCTTTAGTAAAAAGCAGTTATTTTTATTTGTAACAAAGTTTATAAGGATCTTAAGGCGAATAAAGTAAAGTAAACATCGCCAATGACTACATCCGCTTCAGAAAGCATTGCCAATGAACAAAATTGGCTGTAGACGCGAATGAGTTGTGTGAGTCATTGGTGATGTTTACTTCGCTTTGTTTGCCTTGAGATTCTTATAAACTTTGTTGCAAATAAAAATAAATGCTTTTTACTAAAGATCTCGTCTAGAAAGCCAAGTTTTCGTTAAAAAATCTGAGCGATTGACATGATGAGTCTTTACGGTGTTGTTGTCGCACAATAACTCATTCGAGTCTTATCGTTTAATTTTCTGTATGTTTAACCTCTAATAAGTTGTATTGGATTGACGACCAACTCGCCGACCTCTCTACTCGATTTTATACGTCGGCGAGTTGGCGTCGGCGAGTTGGCGTCGGCGAGTTGGTCCGTCGGCGAGTTGACCGTAATTCTTGTGGAACAGGGCACTCATAAATATGTGGGATGCAGCAGGTTTTCTGTTTTGCATATTAGACTAATCTTCTGCAACATTATATTCTAGCATCATTATATAAACTCTATTTTTTAAATGCTTTAAAAATTGTGCTATATCAGTAGCCATATGCAGTCTTAAACTGTTTATTTTAAAATATATTTAGCCCTTATATAGCTACTGTAATCTTTGTGTCAACTTACTGGCATTATTAAGTTCAGCACTTAAATGTTGTTATGAGAGTAAGTGTAGTTACAAGATTGTTTCCTTTCAATTTTGTAGGAACATAATTGTTCAAATTTAACCTATAGTAAAGACAAAGTAAATAAGTAATGTTTATCCATCCCTGGTCTCATCCTTGTCACTGATGTCTTTTAGGGAATCAGATCATTTGGTTTAATTTAAACTATAACAAAATTCTCGAACATGATTGGTCATCACCAGCCAAATTTGAGCACTAATAGGACAGTGTTCGCATTATGCTTGTAATTGGACAGTGTAATAGGACAGTTAAAGGGACACAGTGAACACGTTATGCCTATGTATGTGGACAGAATGCATCATGAGTGTGTGCTGTTGTCTTGCATTTTGCTGAGTTAACTATTGATTTTTTTATGAAAATGTACAACTGATTTCTAGTTTCTTTCTCAAATTTTGTAATAGTTTTGATTAATTGGTAACAGTTCTTCGTGTTGTCCAATTCTGTCTGTAATTATACTTATGATTAACAAATTGTACTCCTGCCTCAAGGCCATCTGATTTCGTTTTTGTATCATTACAGATCGAATTGGACTCCACTCGGTCCTGTTACTATTATTAATCCACTGAGTTGATAATGTAATTGGCCACTTTGGAGCATTAGCCCTTTGCAAATTTTGCTTTCAATTAAAGTTATTGCCAAACATTAGCTTAGGAACTCTTCACAATGGCTAATTTACATACATACAAAACCAAAATGGTCTTATCATACTCCCCCACTTATACAGCACTACAGTTTCTTTAGAAACTTACCCCCTTTATTCATTTGTCTTTTAGGGAATAAGTTGGAAATATTTTTGTGGAGTGGATCAGAGCAAAAGTTTAGAAAAGGAAGGGTTTCAATTTCACTGCAGAGGTAAAGAGTTTGTCATTATATGGAGACATATAATGGCATATGACATGTTGAAGATACATGTATATGGCAGATTTAAACAGCCTTCCTTTTTGTCTAAAGAAACTAACTTTCTCTTAAATTAAGCTCTAACTTCCTTGATGATATTATTCATGAGATATTTATTTAGTTTTTTTGAGGTTTACATTGTGGTTTGCTTTTGGTTTTAAATTTGGAATTTGTCTCCAGGAGAAGATAATTTAAAGTTATTGGTTCAAGACAATGAAAAAAGTTGTGTTGGAATTATTAGAATAGTTTTGAAAGGCTAATTATTGACTTTTAAAGTGCTTCCTCTAAGCTTATTGATTTAGTTCTTACCAAAACAAATACTTAGGATTATCTTAAGGTGTTGCCTTCAGGGAGCTATAAGAAGACAAACATCAGTCATTGAGGTTCTTTGCATGCACTTCAGGAAGAGGTAAAAGACCTGTAGTGTTTCCAAAGACTGCCTAAAATGCTACTGAGAAGCTTGCTTGATAGCTCATCTTTGAGCAAAATGTGCTACTTCTTTTTGACTGTTTAAATTAATTGCATATTGCCTAATATCTATTTCTTCACCTTTGCTTTTCAATCATTCTTTCTGGTAGCAAAATTGTGAATGTGAGTCCCATAGACTTTGATGGTGATGGCTGCCTTGATGTTTTGATTGCTGCTGAACCTCAACACAACTCTAAAACAGAGAAGAATGTTACTGTTTATGTGTACTGGGGAAACTCACAAACATTAGGTATGCTTAAATTACCCCCATCTGATGTACCTGTACAATGTAATTCAGACATCTTGGTTGGTAATCTCTGGAGAAAATATTATGTTTACATGTAGTTGTCTAATTGCCTCAGTGTGTGCTAATTAATGGAGCATGATTGTTTATTTTTAATGATCAATGAATCTTAAAGGGTACTGTCAACTTACTGTCAACAGGGGTGTTTTTCAAACAAAAAATGTTTCATTGTCTTGCCTGATTCTCTAGGTGAGAGTAGTCTTAGAACAGATGGTTGTTGGTAGCACTCACTGACACTTTGACAAATGTTAAGTTGTTGAACGAAGAACAGTCTTTCACAGAACTACTCT